GAAGTTTTATAACTTATCATTTGCAATAGTAAGGCAATACAAAAGCACCCATTTCCAAACACTGACATTGGTGCTGGAATCAGTCTAGTTATCAACACATGATATGACATAAGCGAAGCCCTCACCCTTAAGTTCTCTCTTACCATTTCATTTCTTCTACAACTGGTTGATGAATTTTCAGGACAGATTTTTTTTTTTGAAAATCACCATTAAACTTAAGCCAGTGTGTGTGTGCCCCTATTGCCAGCAATTAAATACTCCTTTTTCTAATTCAACCTCACATACCAAGTCAGCCAATAGATTATACATGATGCAGTGCAACACCAGGAGGGTGTGGAGTGACTTGTGCACACGCTTACTGTGGGTCATACCGGGAGTGGATTAGATATTTCTCTAGAGCAATTTGATGGAGGGGCACATTATTGTATCTGTTATGAAAATAATTTTGGCAATAGAGCCTAAATCAAAATATCTTTGTAGTTTGTTCACAAATTTATCATGTGATTATCAATAATTGTCAATAAGACAAATTGGTGAGTTGATTCTCATGGCAACAGAAGGGAGAGACAGTTGCCAAAAGGGCTCACATCAGCTTCCTGCTGTATTTTTCCATGCACCCATGGCTTTTATGTTAGGACTACCTTTATTCCAGTTGGGAGCTTCTTGGAGTTTGTTTTGTTGCTTTAAAGGCCCTACTTGACCTGGAGCTCTAGAGCCATGCTTCCTGAGGGTTCCATGGTGTTGACTGAGCAGGACAGCCAGTTCTGCTCTGTCACCAGGAGATCAGGGAACTTTTTAAAGTCTTTTGTCTCTAGAAACATGTCTAGTGTTTGTTTGCCTGTCCAATCTTAGTGTTCTCATCTATTCTCAATTTAATTAAGTGACTGTTATTTTAATTATTAAGATTGGAGGAATCATAAAACAGGGAACAAAACCAAGAGACTATTTTGAAAGACAATTGATCTGTTACTATCTGTTGATATGCTAATGTATACATCCCTATGAAAGGGGAAAGCAAATAGGCTTTAAAACATTCCATAAGGTTTTTCAGAAGAAAAAAGACTTTCTGGTACACATTTATGAGAACTGGATTTTGAAGGTGAAGTCCTCCTATACATTCTTCTGAGGTGATTTTAAGTTGACATTTTTAGAGACAGGATTTAAAAAGGGGGGCACTAACACCTCAGCCTTCTATAATCATCAAACACTTTCAAACATAATAGTTTGAGTAAGGAGCAGAGTCAGTAGGCCAGCTACAGATGACATTCCTCAGTAAAAATAAGGGAATAGCAGTATATTAGTATCTATCCATGAATTATTGCAAAGATTAAATCAATCTGTGTAAGATGTGCAAACTAAATACTCAGACTCCAACAGTTACCATTTAGCACATAGAAATAGTAAAGTTTTAAATAAAACAATGAATACAGTATTTTTGTTGATGATGAGGTATGATTATTATTTTGATTATTATCAATGTTTATTTTTAAACATATTTTCATTCTTTGAGAATTATACACATGTGCGCGCACACACACACACACACACACACACACACACACACACACAAAATGTATTTTGATCATATCCATCCCCTCTAAATCCTCCTAGATCTTTTTTCTGCAACCATCAGATCACTGTGATGATCCCTGTGAGCTCCAAGGAAACAAATTTTTTGTTTGTTTGTTTTTTGTTTGTTTTTCGAGATGGGGTTTCTCTGTGTATCCTGGCACTCACTCTGTAGACCAGGCTGGCCTTGAACTCACAGAGATCTGCCTGCCTCGCCTCCTGAGTGCTGGGATTAAAGGCATGCGCCACCACCGCCCGGCCCTCATTTTCTTTTTAATAATAAATTGATCTCAGTCAGTACTGCACTTAATGCACTTATGTGTAGGACCATCCACTAGAACACAGGCCACCTTCCAAGAGCCACACCCATGAAGAAAACTCAACCTCTCTACCCAGCAGACTTCAGCTACCAAAAGCAGCTCAGCTTCCAGACTGGAATTTTGGTTGCCTGGATCTTGTGCAGACCTTGTTCAAGCAAGCTCAGCTGCTGTGAGTGCGGAGCACCATTGCCCTGTCAGGTCATGACAACACTGTCATAGCAGTCCTTTCCAGTCTCTGGCTTTTACAACCTTTCCCATTACCCTCTCTCATTTAACTTCTTCTTTTATTATTTTTATCTTAGGGTCTGTGTGTCTGATGCATATATGTGTGTACAGGCCAGAGGACAGTTTTGGTGTTTATTCTCTCCTTCTGCCTGTTCATGGGTTCCAGGGATTAAACGCAGAACATCAAGCCTGTGCAGCAAGCATTTTACCCACGAAGCCATCTTGCTAACTCTAGCTTTGCATGTTTTCTTAACATAGTAATAATACCTCATATTGCTGTCACTTTTGGATTTTCTGGTTTCCAGGTAGGGGAATACTGGTTTTTTAAAAGTTCATTTAAACTACGTCATACATGGTGTATGATGGTGTATCTTACCATAGTGTTTTGAGAGCTGTTGTATTCATAGCTAATAGTAGAAATTAAACAATTTCTTTTCTTTTTTACATTTCTATATTATATAATAAACTTTTCTCTTGTTTTATTTTCAAAAGTATGCATATATAATGTGCTTTGATCATATTCTCCTTTCTCATTTTAAAATTTATTTGGAACTACAAAAGTCAGGGTAGCCAAAGCAACCCTAGGCAAAAATAAATAAAGCTGGAAGTGTCACTGTGCTTGATTTCAAGGTGCATTACAGAGCTAGAATAACAAAAACAGCATGGGGCCAGCACAGAAACAGACATGTAGATCAGTGGGATAGAAAATGCAGATATAAGTGCAGACAGCTACAGGACACAGGAGGTTTTCCTAAGTTTGAACTAAGTATTCATCTGGCGCCATGGCAGAGTAGGTTCCCTAGTCAATGTACTGGTTGGTAGAGCATGATACTCTTAATCTCAGGGTCATGGGTTTGGGTCCCATGTTAGGCGTCACAATGTAAATGGAGTTCTTAATTGCTCTAAATAATAAAAACCTGGCGTCAGATATAGAGGAAAATGCTGAGAGATCAGAGAAAAGAAGGAGCAAACCACAACCACAACTTACCTCCTTAGCATCTCAGCAGATATGAGAGAGTTGTTTCTCCCTGCTTATATCCTGTTTTTGCCCAGCTAGCTCACTTTCTGTCTGTCTGTACAGACCTCCAGACCTCTATGGTTAGCTAGTGGAAACCTCCATTCTCTGACCTTCAGACAGGCTTTATTTGCACAAGCAAGATATCACCACAGTCAGCTTGCACTTTGCAAAACATTAAAAATGCTGTAAACTTTTTAAAAAGAACTTTTTTGTTGTATCCATGAGCTGTTGTATTAATTATGATAGACACAAAATACTGAATGAAAATAGAAACCTATAGCAAAAAAGCTAAAGGAAGCTCTCACTTTGAAGGTATTTTTGAACTGGATAAATTTTTGTTGGGGTATTTGTTTTGTCTTGTTTCCTACTTTCATGAGGCACAGGGACTATTCATGAAAGGCTGGGCCTCTTTGGGGTAAGGGGTTGATGGGGGAAGTCCTTCTGTGTATATGTTTGTCTTATTGGTTTATAAATAAAGCACTGTTGGCCTATAGGGAAACAAGATAGGTGGGGCTAGGAGTCAAGGAGGATTCTGGGAAATGTAGCAAAAAGGGTAGTCCACATGTGATCCCGGGAAGAGAGGATGCATGCTGCTGGAGTCCTCAAAAAGATAAGTCTTTATAAAATATATAGATTAATGGTTATGGTTGATACTTAAGACAGAGCTAGCAAATAAGAAATCTTAGTCATTAGCCAGCAGCATTGTAACTAATATTAATCTCTATCTGTTATTTGAGGACTCTAAGGTGGCAGTGGAACTCAGGTGGCTGGTGGAAAGAGTTATCATTACAGGGGGTCTCTTAGGCCATCAACATGGATAAAGCTGGAATACTAAGGGGGCATGTCCATGGTGTATGGTTTAGCTGGACATCATCTAGCCAGAAACAGAAAAACTCCATCTTATGCCAGGAAGTGCTGGTTCATATCTGAATACATACTCTGGGGAGGCAGAGGCAGGAAGACTAGGAGTTCAAGAACAGCCTTGGCTACACAGTGAGCAAAACATATAGAGCCTGGGTGGACCTGACAATGTGTCAAAAGCAGAAGAAAACAACACAGGAGAGACTGCTGCATAAGGAATATGAAAGATATTAGGAGAAATGAAAGAACAGGAGAAATTGAAGTTGTGTAGGTAGTGTTGTGAAAAGGAAGCTGCTCTATGTTCTCTTTGGCATGGAATCGGAGAGAAGAGCTGAGTTCATTGAAAAGCTTGCAGTACTTGTCAAAGATTCAACAAAGACTTAGAATGTAACAAGCCTGAACAAAGTAACAAGGCATGTGGACTCTTAGGGAAAATAAAGAACCCCAGGAACACTGGAGAAAGAGAGCAGGCCTGGAACACAAGCAGAGAACCAAAGGGTTAACAACTGACACTTCAACCCCACCCAGAAAGAGGCTCTCAGACCAGTACATGCTGCAAGGGTTGGTGGTGAATCCCTCTAAAAGAACTTGAAACATGTGGTGGGGGCAGCAAAGTGGTATTCACTGTGAGAGAGAGGTGTGAGGGGCCCCGGGTGGGAAATGCAGCCCACGCCCTAAGGGGGCTGGAGGACAGGAGAGGTCATGGAGGAAAAGAATGGAATATTTAGACTAAAAACAAGATGGAGAAAAAGTGAAGTGTACAAAAGTAGTACATATAGCACAAAAAAGCTTCTTTTAAGTTGAATATTTAAGTAGATGGGATGGAAACTAATTGGACAAATGCTATATTAAAAGGAAAATATATTTGAAAAGAAAATTGAAAGTTGGTATGCTGTTTATAACATATACATCTAAAAATTGAAGATTCAGAAAGTGTTTAAATAAAATATACCAAACAACTCCCTCATCTAAAGAGCTGCTGTTCATGTCATTAACCCTAGGCAAAAGTGACTTTATGGCAGAACTCCTGCTGGAGGTGAAGAAGGCAATTATTTAATAATAGCAGCATATGAGAATCATTATTTGATAACAAAAAGCCTGTGAACAAGGTATGCCCCTTATAATCTCAAATATGTAAATGGAAACTTAACAAAGAGGAACAGACAAATCTTTCAGCACAGTGAGAGGTTTTAATGTGCATCATTAGCTGATAGACTTAAGCAACATAAATATTTGATCCAACGGACATTTATAGAATGTGGCACTTGACATATGTAGAAAGTTTAGTCCAGTATCTTAGTCATCTTTCATGAAGCTTTTAAAAATGTGACAATATAACTTGACATCAAACAATCTCATTTTTTAGAAGTAGAAGGTATAGTACATTCCATACTCCTGACACCAATGTGGTCAGTACCTTTATGAAACAGAGAAACATAGTGGAATGGTTATCCAGAGAGAAGAGCCCTGGCAAAGTGGAGAGAGGCTGGACTGCTGTGTCTATATACCAAAAAATACCCACTGTGGACAGCAGATATCAGCATCTCAGAGAGATGAATGGAAGGAGCTTTTCAGAGCCCCCGAAGCAACCAATTCAGACGGCACTTGCTTTGGAGGTTTCTACCCTCCAGAACTGTGAAAGAATATATTTCTCCTATATTTTAAAGATTTATTTATTTTATGTGTAAGATGTTTTGCCTGCATGTATGTGTGTACACTGTATGCAGGCCTGCTGCCCACAGAGGATGATACTGGATCTCCCTTCTGACTAGAGTCATGACTAGTTGTAAGCTGTTTTTGCTGGGAACTAAATCTGGGTGTTCTGCAAGAGCAGTACAGTGCTCTTAACTGCTGAGGCTTCTCTGCAGCTCCACAATAGTGTTCTTTTAAACCACCCAGTTTGTGGTACTTTGTTAGAGCAGCCTTAGGAAACATATTCCATGAATTTTAGAGCTAAGAAGAGTATGTTTGAATGATTCACAAGTCAAAGGAAAGAATAAAATTCAATGTGTATTGAACTAAGTAATAAAAGCCTCATATACCTAAAATAAACAGATGGAACACAACTTCAGATTTATAAATCAGAAAAGAAAGGATAAAAAATGAGTTAGATATCTAAAATAATAAATTGAAAGAAGGAATACAAAAGAAACTAAGAAAATAGAAGCAAGGCCATAACAAAATCAAAGCCAAAACCAACAATATAAAAACAAGAACACAAGGACATTAAATGAATTCCAAGAACTTGATGTTGAATATTTTAAACAGTTTCAGAAGAATAGTCATAATATTCCACCAACATTGGTATTATAAACAAGTAAAAGTAGGCAATGTGATGGTGTTTAAAGAAACTGTAAGAAAATGTTCTTTCTCCACATGGCGTTTACCTCTGAGGTGAGGGGGAACCACATAGGATTGAAGGACACAAAGAACAAAAAAGATCCTAGTTGGGTCCCAGCACTCGGGAGGGGAGGCAGAGGCAGGCAGATCTCTGTGAGCCAGCCTGCTCTAGAGAGCTAGTTCCAGGACAGCCAGGACTGTTACAGAGAAACCCTGTCTCAGGGTGGAAAAAAAAATGATCCTTTGGTGGGGACATGAAGAACAAATCAACTTTTAAGTGTTGATTGGCCTTGTGTAGTTGTTCCTTTGTGACTACTCTAGTTTGTATCTTCTGTCTGTCTGTTTCTCCTAGGTTATTGCTGACATGGAGACCCAAGTTCATAAGCTGAGGGGAGAACTAATTAATGTGAACTCTCAGCGGAAACAGCAGCTGGTAGAACTAGGTCTTCTTCGAGAAGAAGAAAAGCAGAGGGCTGCAAGGGACCACGAGACCGCTGTCAACAAGTTGAAGGCTGAATCAGAAAGGGTGAAAATGGAGCTGAAAAGGACACATGCCGCTGAGACTGAGATGACCCTGGAGAAGGTGAGGAGCTGTCCCGAAGGCCTTTGGTTAGACTGTAGACATGCAGATTTACAGCCAGTTCTCCCTGCTCTGGTGCTCAATCTCTGAAAGGTGGTAGACATGGATCTACTCTTCAGATTTGCACGAGCAGCTTGAATATCTCCCTCTGTCCTGTGCACTGCTAAAATGCTCTAAGCAACTACCTACCTCTCCCCTTGACTCTGTGGAAGGGGTCCCCTTCATAGTAATTAAATACAGTGATAGAGAAGTGTTACCATTGTGACATACCATGTGGTAAAGAAATATTTGGGCCGTGGCTCTGAATTTTCTTAGGTTTAGAATGAGTTATACAGTTTCCCTAGGTGGTTGTCTAATAGTTGTTTCTAGTCTTTATAATTTTAATAACACTAACAAAAATGATGATGTATTCTCCTAGGCTAAAATTTTAGCAGAATTAAATTCATTTAAATATTATATTACTTAAATTTCAATATAATATTTACACATTTGACTTGGATTACATTCAAGTTACAATCTAGAATATTCCTTTTTAAAAACTTGAATATTTAGTCAGGTGCTGAAAGAGATTTGCCGTTCATCATACCAGCTTTAAATCGTTCTTTGAGCTCTTTAATTAATGCCAGTCTGGATCTTTGGAATAGAGTAATTTAAGAATTATCTAATTTTGTTTGACTTCTACTTCTCTTTTCCTTTTCCTTTTCCTTTTCCTTTTCAAGCAATGTTGAGCCCTGAAAAAGTACATGCAGTCACTCTAGGCATTATCACACAGATTCTACAGTATGAGCCTAGGATGTGGCCTTAGTGCGGCAATTCACACTGAAGTCAGATTTTTAACATACTTTGCCCTTGGCGAGGTAGCTTTATACTCACCATTAAGTAGTAAGGATACTCTGAAGATCTGAAAGTGTGCCTGGCCTCTTAGAAAACCAGCGCAGGCATTAATGTGACTGCAAATAATGACCAAGGAGAATCCAGAGAGGACTCCTCAGGGCCCTAGCCCAGGTCCTTAGGTTGTCATAGTGTGACAAATGACTCAGACTATGAGTAGAAGAGACAGCCATGCTTAAACAGGGCAGTGGTTCTGCCTTGACCCTGTAAAGCGAGATCTCTCCATGAAGAAAATAGACTAGCTGGAAGGCACAAGAGGAAGGAGAAACCAGCCATGAAGGACTGTGATATTTAAAACAGACCAGTCTTGGGTCTGGGCAGTATAGCAACAGCTGTGATTTTCTTTTAAAAATTCACAGGAGTGTGTTTGAAAGATACAGCTGACAGGATTTACTGTTAGTTTATATGTGGGGGATGAGAGAGTGAAAGACAGCAAGCCTGGGAGCAGTCATGGTGATGCCAGTAGACAGATGGAGTTACTCTTTGCTGCAAAGAAGACTATAAGAGCAAGAGGCTAGGCCATGCAGGGTACGTTCAGGCTGAGGTGCCTTGTAAACATATAAGTGTGATGTTGTTGAGCCTGCCATCAAAATAGTACAAAATAGCAATGCTCTAATGCTGGCACAAGCAGGGCCTTGAGAATTAGGAAGCACCCTCACTCAGATACCAGACTGCTGATGCAGCAGACTGTAGAGAGAGAGGATGCTGGAGGGTGACTTAGAGCAAGAGAAAAGGGTGATGGATGCTACCCTCAGAAAGATAATTTTAGAAGATAATGAAATATGCAACACAAGACAAAAACACATGTAGATGTATGAATATAACTACTGTAAGGGAAAATTAGAGGAAATTATTTTCTATTGAGGTCGAGGAAAATTAATAAGAATCAATACTATTTAAATTAGATGCAAAGTGACCTGAGGACTTTTTGACTAGTAGATATGGAGCATGGCATTCCAGATCACAAGAAAAACAAATAAAAGAGAAAACAAAACCAGGTACATGATGCACCGGATGACCCCAGGAAAAGTGGGTGATAAGGCTGGACTATAGCTCAGGGAACTTGGGGTCTCCACAGCTTTGCATAAGTGATGAGAAGCCACTGAAGATGCTGGGGAATTAAGTGTGAGTATCTGGGGATCGTGAGCAGAATCATCTGTCAGCATCCTTTTGATGGCAAAGCTGTAGAGGGTTGGTGGGAACTGGTCTAGTCCAGGAGACAGACTCTTGAGGACTTGGGAGAGATGTGTATGAGGTAGCGAAGCATGGCAGTGACAACAAAGCTTGAGAGTCATTGCAGAGAGGGCACTGGTGAGTTGTAAAAGGCAAACTTGCCCATATTCATTTGCAAATATGGAAAGTCTCAGGGCTGGGGAGGAAGCATGTGAGGTCAGTTAGCAATGCACTGGGTTGAGAGTGCTGCCTGGACATGTTCACTGCTGTGGAAAGGATGTTTCTGGGTTCCAGAGGAGAAGGTGGGCAGGTGTAGAAGTTGTGGCTTTGGGAGTGAGACTGCTGATGAGAAGAGGGTGAGGAACATGGAAAAGGGAGAGGCAGACAGACAGACAATGAGGTAGGGGCCACAGACATTTCAGAGGTTGGGAGATAGCTGTCCCAGAAGGGCCATTGAGGGAGGAGAACCATGTACAGAATCTATTTTCATCAAACACAGAAAGAGTCTTTGGAAAGCGGATTGTCAGGAAAGTTACAGAAAGTCAAGAAGGACGAGGGTTGAGGAGAGGTCACTGGATTGGAAGCTGAGAAGTCACTGCTGATCTTGGACAGCATACTGACAATGATAGGGTAGACATTAACTCCATTGTCAAAGTTGAGTGAGGCCATGCAGACTGGGAAACCGACATTAAAGCCAGCAGGAGTCAAAGCAGACTCTTTTTACACTGAACACATCTCAAGCATTTTGAAGCAGGAGAGGAGGGACTGTTAGAGGTAGTCTACTCTGGATACTGGCAGAAGATGACGGATGGCTTGCTGCTGACAGCAGAGGGTGCACCCCACCTCAGCCCTTGGCTCCAAGAGTGCAGAAACATGGGATATCAGTCTCTTCCTGGGATATGCCACTCGCTTCTGCTTCCAGGTCCTGACACCTACCACCTGCTGCTCATAAGGTTCTACAGTGTTCTAATAGCTAGCTGCTACGATAAATCTTTCTGCCAAATGCCGCCTGAGCCCCACCGCCATGTGTGAGCTTTACGCCAGCCGCCTGCCCGAGTTAGGCCAAATGAATACACAGAAACTTGTATTAGGTACAATGCTGCTTGGCCAATGACTAGGATTCTCATCTGTTAGCTCAGTCTCAATTATCATACATCTATATATTTTATAAGACTTATCTTATCGGACGCCTTATTGGCATCCCTCCTTGCCGGATGGTGGCTCACATCCTGCAGCTGGAGGAGGCAAACGGGAAAAAAGGGACCCTTCCTGTTTCTCCTTCGCTTAAATATGAGTCTCCTTGCTATGTCACTTCCTTCCTGGATCAGCACTCTCTACTACATTTCCCAGAATCCTCTTTGACTCCTAGTTCAGTCTAACTTGCCAAATGTCTCATTGGCCAAACAGTATTTTATTTAACAATCAATAAGATAAACATACACACCCATCAGCTAGCCTTCCCTTCCTCCTGCTGCCCTCCTTGGAGAGTCCTTCTCCGCATTCTTCGTCTACAGGCTGGCTTACTTAACCACCTCTTTCATAATGTCTTTCTAGCTCATCTCACAGTACAAAATCATACCTGTATTTGTGCTTACTTATTTATTCTCTGTCCCTACCACTCACTAGAGTGTAGGTTCCACCAACAGAGAACCTTGCCTACAGTTCAGTTCTGTACCACTGATGCTAGAGAAGCCTGGTGCATGGGAGATGCTCACCACTAGTTCCTATTGTGTAAGGGACAGGAGACATCCCTGTTATCCAGAAAAGAAAGGCAGAAAGAGGGTTGGTAAGGATAAAAAAATTTCATGTCAGAACTTGAAAGGAAGTTACAGGTTAATATTTATCACCTGATCTTGTTGCAGAATCATGTAGTCTATAGAGTCAGGAGTTTCACTCAGTATGGAAGTAGGGTCCATGGAAATACAGAGGGAATGTGGAGCAGGAGGGAGTAGGGTGGCAGGATTGTGGAAGAGTGGGCTTCCTGAAATGGACTGAGAATGCAAGTCATACAGTAGACAGAGGAGAGCACAGTCATTTTAGGTCACATGAAAGAAGGGCACTGAAGACATTAACTGGAATGCAGGCAAGTGTGGGCAAGGAAAAGAGCAGTCTGAGGAAATGGAGGACAGCAGGACATAGGCTGACACTCAGGGTACTATTTGGGTTTTGATGAGTTTGTAAAATATATCAACCTCAAAGTCTATCTAATAAAATCCAAGTACTAGGTTCTTGCTACTGAGTTTTTTGTATTTCATATTGATAAACATTTTACTTAAATATTACAGACAAGAATTTAGCAATTTCAGCTGCAGAAATGCCTGGACTAAGTCAAAAGCATGACTGTGAATATTAATTTTTAAAGCTCCAGTATCAATATAGTGCTTTGCACAAAAGATATTCATTAAATGTTATGTGAGTGAATCAAAGAATTCAGTATAGCGCCGGTATATGACAGTGTGGATAGATAAATTATATTTCATTCAGATTTGATTTTAATCCACTATAGATACTTTGAATAGGACAAAATTTGTCTGTGTATTCAAATATTCATTTGTGTCTCATATAATTTCTCCCACATTACTCAAATTAAACATAAAGCTTATTTTAGGTATGATTTTGGTTTTCTCTACAAATTAATAAACATTTTAGTTTCTTGTATGAAAGTTTAAATCAATACCAATAAGTTGAAAGTTTAGTTGCTAATTATTCTGCAGATTTGCTAAATTCTTCTCACCCATTTAGAAAACTTTCTATAGTACTAGGGAGATGGCTCAGTGGTAAGAGTGCTTGCATATATGTAAGGACCAGAGTTCAAATTCTCAGCATCTTCATGGAAAACTGGTACAGTCATGCATATTTTATCTCCAGCATTAGAGAGTAGAGACAAATGGATGAGCTGGGCCTCCTCGTTGGCTAGGCTGTCAACCCATAATGGCAAA